GACATTTTTCCCTCCTAAAAATCAACTTTGTTTCCTCAAAAAAAATTTGACATTTTTTCTGCGAAAATCTACATTTTTTCCTCTAAAAATTGGCATTTTTTCCTCCAAAAAATCCACATTTTTTCCTGCTAAAAATCCACATTTTTGACTCTTAAAAAGTGACATTTTTACTCCAAAATTTGGCATTTTTCATGCTAAAAATTCCACATTTTTCCTCTTAAAAATCCACATTTTTTCCTTCTTAAAATTGATATTTTTCCACCTAAAAATTGATATTTTTCCACCTAAAAATTGGCATTTTTCCACCTAAAAATTGATATTTTTCCACCTAAAAATTGATATTTTTCCACCTAAAAATTGATATTTTTCCACCTAAAAATTGATATTTTTCCACCTAAAAATTGATATTTTTCCTCCTAAAAATGGACATTTTTCCACCCAAAAACTGATATTTTTCCACTTAAAAATCCACATTTTTTACCTTCAAAAATCCACATTTTTCCACCCAAAAATCCACATTTTTCCACCCAAAACCCCCTTTTTTTTCCCAAAAATCACCAAAAAATCAAATTTTAACTTCTGAAATTTCTTTATTCAATAACACACGGTGACTTTTTCTCTTCCTAAAATTGATATTTTTCCACCTAAAAATTGATATTTTTCCACCTAAAAATTGGCATTTTTTCACCTAAAAATTGATATTTTTCCACCTAAAAATCGAAATTTTTCCTCCTAAAAATCGACATTTTTCCACCCAAAAATCCATATTTTTTTACCCAAAACCTGATATTTTTCCACATAAAAATCCACATTTTTTTCCACTTAAAAATCCACATTTTTTACCTTCAAAAATCCACATTTTTTACCTTCAAAAATCCACATTTTTTACCTTCAAAAATCCACATTTTTTACCTTCAAAAATCCACATTTTTTACCTTCAAAAATCCACATTTTTTACCTTCAAAAATCCACATTTTTCCACCCAAAAATCCACATTTTTCCACCCAAAACCCCCTTTTTTTTCCCAAAAATCACCAAAAAATCAAATTTTAACTTCTGAAATTTCTTTATTCAATAACACACGGTGTCGGCATCGGCCAAAACCACCGAAACGTTGACGTTGGCCGGTCTCGCCATGGATTTGTCCAAACTCCTCTGGACGAACCTCATGGCCACGCCCTCGTGCCCCACCACGCAGGTGAAGACGTCGCCGCGGCGCCACTCCTCCGCCCCGGCCGCCATCTTGGAGTAGACCGAGAACCTTCCGGAACCTCCGGCGTCCGGCTGCGGGCCCAGCACCGAGAAGCGCTCCGGTGGCACCGGCCGGTCCAGGTGCGTCCAGGTGAGCAGGATGTCGCGCGGGAAGAAGCCGCTGGCCAGGCAGGTCAAGATGGCCGACTCGCCCAGCGCCAGCGCCTCGGGCGGCGGCGGGAAGACGTAGACCTGGGGGGCCACGGCCGTGCCGCCTGGGGGAGGGGCGGGGGGGCGACGTGGTCAGTTTGGGGGGCGGGGCTTTGGGTGGGGGGACCCATGGCGGTTGGGGTCCCCCAGTTGGGTGTCCCAGTTTGGGAGAACCAATCCCAGTTTGGATTCCCAGTTTGAGGATCCATTCCCAGTTGGGTTTCCCAGTTGGGGGAACCATTCCCAGTTGGGTCTCCCAGTTTGAGAGACCAATCCCAGTTTGAGTTCCCAGTTGGAAGAACCCCCCCAGTTGGGTGTCCCAGTTTGGGAGAACCAATCCCAGTTTGGATTCCCAGTTTGAGGGTCCATTCCCAGTTGGGGGAACCAATCCTAGTTGGGTCTCCCAGTTTGAGGATCCATTCCCAGTTGGGTTTCCCAGTTGGAGGAACCAACCCCAGTTTGAGGATCCATTCCCAGTTTGGGTCTCCCAGTTTGAGGATCCATTCCCAGTTTGGATTCCCAGTTTGAGTTCCCAGTTGGAAGAACCATTCCCAGTTGGGTTCCCAGTTTGAGGATCCATTCCCAGTTGGGTTCCCAGTTTGAGGATCCATTCCCAGTTGGGTTCCCAGTTTGAGGATCCATTCCCAGTTTGGATTCCCAGTTTGAGTTCCCAGTTGGAAGAACCATTCCCAGTTGGGTTCCCAGTTTGAGGATCCATTCCCAGTTGGGTTCCCAGTTTGAGGATCCATTCCCAGTTGGGTTCCCAGTTTGAGGATCCATTCCCAGTTTGGATTCCCAGTTTGAGTTCCCAGTTGGAAGAACCATTCCCAGTTGGGTTCCCAGTTTGAGGATCCATTCCCAGTTGGAGGAACCATTCCCAGTTGGGTTCCCAGTTTGAGGAACCATTCCCAGTTGGGTTTCCCAGTTGGGGGAACCATTCCCAGTTTGGGTTCCCAGTTTGAGAAACTGTTCCCAGTTTGGGTTTCCCAGTTTGAGGATCCATTCCCAGTTTGGGTTCCCAGTATAGACCGGACCATTCCCAGTTTGGGTTTCCCAGTTAGAAGAACCGTTCCCAGTTTGGGTTCCCAGTATAGACCGGACCATTCCCAGTTTGGGTTTCCCAGTTAGAAGAACCGTTCCCAGTTTGGGTTCCCAGTATAGACCGGACCATTCCCAGTTTGACCAGTCGGCTCTTCCAGTTGGCTCCCAGTATGAACCAGTATGGACCAGTGACCTCCCAGTACAGACCAGTACAAACCAGTATGGACCAGTAGGGACCAGTGACCTCCCAGTATGGACCAGTATGGACCAGTATGGACCAGTGACCTCCCAGTACGGACCAGTGACCTCCCGGTACAGACCAGTGACCTCCCAGTACAGACCAGTACAAACCAGTATGGGCCAGTAACGTCCCAGTATGGACCAGTATGGACCAGTGACCTCCCAGTACAGACCAGTATGGACCAGTACGGACCAGTAACGTCCCAGTACGGACCAGTATGGACCAGTGACCTCCCAGTATGGACCAGTATGGACCAGTACGGACCAGTAACGTCCCAGAATGGACCAGTGACCTCCCAGTACAAACCAGTAGGGACCAGTACGGACCAGTAAGGACCAGTAACTGACCAGTATGGACCAGTATGGACCAGTACGGACCAGTAACGTCCCAGTACGGACCAGTATGGACCAGTGACCTCCCAGTACAGACCAGTGACTTCCCAGTATAGACCAGTACAAACCAGTATGGGCCAGTAACTGACCAGTATGGACCAGTGACCTCCAGTACAGTCCCGAAAAAAATCCCAAAAAATCCCAAAAAAATCCCGAAAAAATCTGAAAAAATCGGAAAAAAATCCCAAAAAAATCCCAAAAAATAAAAAATAATCCCCGAAAAAATCCCAAAAAATCTGAAAAAACTCCCAAAAAAATCCCAAAAGAATCCCCAAAAAATCCCGAAAAAAATCCCAAAAAAAAAAAAAATCCAAAAAAAATCGGAAAAAATTTCCCAAAAAAATTGGAAAAAATCCAAAAAAAATCCCAAAAAAATCTGAAAAAATCTGAAAAAATTCCAAAACATCCCAGAAAAAATCCCAAAAAAATCCGAAAAAATCAGAAAAAAATCGGAAAAAATTCCCAAAAAAATCCCAAAACATCCGGAAAAAAATCCCCAAAAAAATCTGAAAAAAATCGGAAAAAATTCCAAAAAAAATTCCCAAAAATATCCCAAAACATCCCAAAAAAAAATCCTAAAAAAATCCCCAAAAAAATCCCAAAAAATCTGAAAAAATCAGAAAAAATTCTCTAAAAATCCGAAAGAAATCCCGAAAAAATCGCAAAAAATCGGAAAAA